AAAGAAGAAATTTATAACTTTATAAAAACAAAGAATCTTATTTGACAAAGCTATGCCATACATTTGATCAACTACTATTTATTGACAACACGATTTCTCTATCACTGTAAAACACCTCAACTAGAAAGAAAATGACATAAATTAAAGCTTCCCACAAAATACAGGCCGAGAAAAAATATAAATATAAAAAACAAACCTCATATTAATGGCATTTCTGGATTTTTACTCGGGTGTTTTCATTCACTTGTTGGTGGTCGCTTGAACTACTGACACTGAAACGCCAACGAGAGAGATATGAACACTCAAATTTTCCGTTTTTATCAATATTTGAATAAAAAGGACGGAAATGGAACAGTAATTTTTGTAAATCTCAATTTGTTAATGCGTAGAGTATGATATAATTCTATGAAAAAAACGCAGCTCACTTATGGGGAAACGATGATGTCACCGCTGTTGGGAATGGATGAAATTCTCCCTGCCAGCTGTCAACGTCACCGTGTATTAGGAATAACTTTGGAATTTTCATTTATCTTTATCTGTGGAAATTAAGCTAATTAGAGAGTACATGCTTTTTACTAACGGTTTGGAAAGTGTATGAAGATAATCTAAGTAAATTCCACTCTCCTGGAAGTAATGCTTATATAAATTATCATATAGGAGGGATATTCGAACGGTAATTACGGGAAAAAAGGCTACAATAATGAGCAAGTGTGAAATTTTGTAGGATATGCGTTGGAAATCTTGCAGTAAAATGCGTCGCACCTTAATACTGAGATTCTAATATAATTAATTTATTCTGGGTTTCATTAGGCGTGATTCATTCTCATGTGTGTTGAGTCACCCCTAAAGTTTTTTTCCCTTTTTAATCTCTTTTTAATGAATCGCTTTCACTTAAAATACATATTCACTAAGCATACACAAAACAACGTTACACTGTTATTGAACGCTTTCAATTACATATTCGTGAAATTAGAGCCTACAGTGCATTACTCATGCACATTTCTTGCATAAATTTTGTTTTACCTGCACGACCGACTTAGTACAATATATTGACAATATGTATTTGCGGGACTCACATGTCTATTTGGATCAGGATCAGTGCTTCGTATTAATGTAAATTTATTAACAAAGGATTTAACGACGCAGAATAAACTACCTCAACGAAATAGATCTTACAAATCGGAACCATGAATATAATTTCCCCTCACGTATATAATTTTTCCTTGACAATAAGAATTTGTTATACTCTTCTTTTTTCTTCTTTTTTTGAGTGTATAGTTAAATCAGATGTAACAGTATGGGTAATAATAATGTTGATAAAGATTATCATGAAGATGACAGCAGTGGCTTGGTAATATTAAGAGGGTTGTAAAGCCACCAAAGCCTATAGTCATACCTACACATCGTCTAATAACTCTACAGCAACTTACGTTTTCGATTCAAACTATACTGCATATGAGTTATGAAAATCCTCCGTCTTTTGCTCGACCCAGTCCTTAGGAATACGTCAGTCGCAATAGATGACTGTGATAAGGATAGTTTATGTCTGTTTAACCCTTGTAGATTAACTGCCCTATGCATGTAGTCTTCACGATCATTTATTTTTGCTTAATTCTCAGGCATTGCATCGAAGGGGTCTGATCTGCAGCAGTCAGTTATTCTAAGGGCGTTTCGAAATGTCAGTTACACATCACATCCTGTTGTCCGTAACAGCGGACGTGCGTCAAGAATGGTGACAGATGATCCGACAATCTTGGAAATCATCATGCACTACTTCCTATTTGTGGGAACAGTTGTCATGGCGGCGGTGCCGTGTCGCAAATATGGCCTTGTTGAATGGACCAAAGTGGGACGAAAGGAAGGGCTCCCTAGTGTAACAGAGGGAGGGGGGGGAGGAGCTAGGGGGAGCTGGCTACCTAAAAAGAAGCAATGGTAAAGAGGTAAAGTTGGCTGCTCCTATTTATTTTATAGCATCTTGGAGATTCCCAGGCGAGGATAGTAACACGTTATTCATTCTGGTTATGGTTATTTATTATTTATTACCATTATTTTTTTCGGACGGCAAATAACCTGATGTGAATCATACCTCCATCCACAGAGTTTGATGATTCAATTGCTTCTGTTTTTAGCTTGGTCTCTCCTGTAGGTAAACTGCTACAGGATTGATGTACTACCTGTTGCACCAAGGATCAGAAATATTGCTATTCCTGTATGCTGATCATGATTATCAAACCTGAATAAAATATCGGAAAGTGCGTAAGCCTACTTCATTATATAATACTCTACGGCCTTTCCCCCTATTTGTATTATTTATTTGTTTATTTATTGTCGGTCAGACCTGGCCTAAACTCCATGTTTCTTCGGCTTTATAAAAATATGTTCTGCCTAGTGGCGGCTCGCGAAAAAAAATAGAGTGAACATCTATTCTAATAAATAAAAGACATTTAGACAAAGATACTTCATAATCGTTCAGTTATATATAGTGGTTGTTAGTGTCATGTTAATGGAGGTATGGATAGCCGAGGTGTTGATTGTAATATTACTTGAAAGTAAGATTATGCTACATAGAATATAACTCCTCGTTGCTAAATGCATCACTAATGAATCCTGCAACACCGTGCAGCATGGAACTTCTATTTTTGTCTCGTAATGTAAAATAAAATGCCCATTTAGTTGTAAATATATTGACAGTAACATACTTTATTACGACATAATTGTTAGTTACATATTATTTTCGTGCTCAGCAACTCCTAATGGGGAGCCGCCATTGATACTGCCTTACAATAGGAGTGTGTGTGTATAATCTATAGTTAAGGACCATCTTATTTTGCAATGAATGATATACAAATAATTACTTTTAATCAGTGTTGCACGGTGGCAAGAGGAATCTATAAAGTATGAATTTTGACATTTAGGAATTATTAATTTACTTCCGTGTAGTGATCTATTGGTATTCATTCATTATTATACCACGATGGACAGAAGAAACGAGTATACTGTTACTTATTAATCAAATGAATAAGGAAACAAACGGTAAATTGGATTCATAAGTCACTCATTAACTTGAATAAAGAAATGATTACTGCATCAAAGGAAGCTGGCCTCTCCTGTAATTAGCAGTTTTAGAAGAAACTGACGTGAAACCAAGATTGCCAAACCAGGTAGTTTTGTTTGAGAAATTGCAATCTTAAGTTAACGAAAATGATGATTTTGTCACCATTATATCTAATATGGTAAATGCTTAAACGTACTTACTCGAGTTGGGTGAATTCTTTGGCCTGGTTCAGGAGGTAAAGGAAGAAGAAGAAGAAGAAGAAGAAGAAGAAGAAGAAAATCAAACGCTTGCATACAAGCTATGCAATTTCCAAAATGTGATTGTTTGGGCGAGGAAAATTGCTCGGCAGATTTTATATACATCGATACACATGCACACACACACACACACACACACACACACACACACACACACACACACACACACACACACACACACACACACACACACGCACACACACACACACACAGAGCACGCAAGCACACGCACGCACACGCACAATCACAAACACACACACATGCATCAAATATAGTTAAATCATTTCAGTGTTAGCGTCATGCAGTCAATTAACTACGGCGCAATATAATATACAAGTTTTTAGAAACGACACAAAAGGGAATCCAATTTCGTATCTGATGGGCGCCTATTTTTTATTTTTTTATTTCATTTATTCATTTTTTTTTTTTTTTTTTTAGCTGACTTTATAATATGATGGTACTCCAGGCAAATATGCTTCATATCCTGTTGTGTTTATTTCATGCGGAACTGGTAATATTGAATGAATATCGTATCTTGTTGCTGTATGAGAAAAAACGCCTTAAAATAAGGAAGAATTGTCGGCCTGATGAAGCGGAAGTTACGATCACATTGGCGAAGGATTGTAATTTGTTATCACAGTTAATTACAGCAGAAGGATACACACACACACACACACACACACACACACACACACACACACACACACACACACACACACACACACACACACACACACACACATACGTGCTATATATGTATAAACATTAACACACTTTCATTCTATTTATCTTTCAATCTATCTGTCTGTCTGTCTATATACCTACTTATCTCCTGCCTACCTACTTACCTATGTAAGTAGATCTAGCTATCTATTCGATGGTTTTTCAAATACATGAAAAATGTGGTAATCACCTAAACATTTATTCTAATAAACATAATGTTGAATGAGCCCGCATTCTCATTATTACGGTGTTTAATCACTAACGCCGAAGAAAAGAATAAATATCAGAATAAGAATTGAAACGTTTTCACCGAACTTAATATCTTGAATTCTGCGAAAACGACGGCGAAAAACAAAAGCTACACGATGGCGTACTTGACTCCTGTTTATGAGATTCGCCAGGAAGCGGAACCCATATCTCTGTTTGAGGAACGCTTTTTATTGACAAAAATCTAGCGTAAGGAAAAGAAATATATATTTTGAAAACCGTCATTTCGCAGAAATTAGTAACATCAAAAAGAATACAAAGGCACAGATAGTTCACCGAACCTGCATAAAGGTTTATATTTGCTTTGAGGGAAGAACACGTAAAAAATCCCCCCCCCCCTTTTTATTTACATCGGAAGGTTAGTCATTTAGCAATATTAGATTTGTCTGTTGCTTGTGAGTACGTCATTTTTCACACAAGGGAGGCAATAATCAGCAAGAGAGGGGGAGAAAATTGTGAAAAGAAATAGCTTTTCAATAAAAAAAGTTGTGTAATTCCGACTGAGCGTTAATTGGTCCCTGGGATTTTCAAGAAACAAATTCGTTATTACTTATTCGGCAGGACTGAAGACATTAAATGCGAAATGGGGTCCTAATCGGAATACAATATTCAAAGATAAATATGGATGCATTTTATCACAAATTCTTCGCGAGAACTGCACTGCCTGTTCGAAGAGAGAGAAGGGAAATAGGAGACTGGAAATTGATCTTCGGATATTTTAGAATGGATATTACGACTTTTACATTTCATATGATTAGAGTTTTTTTTTATGAAATACACGAATAATGAAATATTAAGAGATGCATAGACAATTCAGTATTACAAAACTTTGAATTCACTAAAATTTGTTTTCGTTCTGATAATTCCTTTCCTCATTATGATTACTAATTACTATTATCCTCGTTACATACACATGCACAAACACCTGCAGGCACATGTACATACACAAGCACACACACACACACACACACACACACACACACACACACACACACACACACACACACACATTATCTTATTTAGTGTATGGGGTTTTAATAGTCT